GGAAATAGTTATATCTAAAATTATATATTGTAGAAAAAATATAGTTAGTACAGATATATAAATAAATATACCTCAAGACTCAGTCTTGATCATCTGCTGATGATGTTAACATGGTTAGCCAGGAACGTGCGCCCAGTGTGTAAAAGTAAAAGTGTTTTGGTGTATTGTGCTGATTTAGTGTTTTATTTTGCTGTGTAACACCAAAGGTTCCAACCCCCAGCTGTAATTATTTCTTCTATTATATTAACAACACATAATAATAAAACTATTTAAAATATTTAAGGGAGCTTTAATAAAAGCTTTTAGTGTGTTTATCTGCTAAACCAACAGTAACGATTCAAACAAGAAAAAGTTTTTTGAAAAAAAATTATTAATCAGAATTTATATTTATGATACACATTATTTTCATAAAACACCGTACGCCCATGCCTATTTTATGAATGAAATTGGGCGTGTCTTGTTTACAACTGCGTTCCCCTGCCGATACCCCGTAGCTACAGATCCGTTGGTCACACTATATGTTGCTTTAAAAAAATCTAAAATGTCAATATTCCATAGCTATAGTGATAAGTGAGGTCTAAATTATAAAAAAATGTATTTTCTACAAAAAATTGAAGAGATAGGTAAAAAATGGTATAATACAATTTGATAGACAATTAAATTATGCATCTAATTCATGTAAAACATACAGAGTGTTCCATTTAAATTAAACAATTTATTGCCGTTTAAAGCTAGCAAATATTTGATATACATTTTTGGACACTATACATAGGTAAGTATGATTTTTATTATTGTAACACAATATCTGATCAATAAATAATCTTCAGTAAGTGTTTAGTATTAAAAACTTTGATACCCTTGGAGAAATGGAGCCTTACATTTTTTATTGCAATTTTACAAAATTGAAAATATTTCAAAAACGGTAAGGTTTAAGTGTGATAAACCTTAATCAAATTTACCTTTATTTCAATAGTAGAATCTAAAAATAGAATAATATACAGAGTGTTCCATTTAAAAAAAAACGCAACTATAATATTTTTTACTTATTTGGACACTCTGTATCTTGTAAAATTATTTTTAAATTGTAGCTCTAATAGTCCTTCAACGAACCCAAAACTTAGAATTTGTAAAAATCGAATCGTTTAGCTACAATACTCTACATACAATACAATACTCTACTACAATACTCTATAGTAACATATATACATACAATAATTTCAATGCATTTTTTTATTATTAGATAACGTTTCCAGAAAACTGCATTCTCTATAAAAAAATTGTGTGCACTATGTGCGAATATTTGAAGTGAAACATCTTACTAACAGCTGTTAAATTGAAGGATGTGATGGACATGTTTGAAAAAGTGTAGTTTGAAATGTTGAAAACGTAATATATTAAAAACGTATTTTTTTACGTGTAACAAATAATTTTTTACACGTAAAAATTGTTTTTTACGTGTATAAAATATTTTTTTTGCGTATAACAGACAGTTTTTTACACGTAAAAATAGCTTGTTGCGTGTAACAAATATATTTTTAGGTGTAACAAATAACTCGATAAATAATGACAAATAATAATTTATTGATGTCAAAACCATACAAGAACAGTTGCATACAAGTTAGAAACATGAATAAGATACATATATTATATAAAATACAATTTAACCTAAAAATTAACACAAAAAACATGAACCAATTACCATATTATATGGGTACAAAATGATAATTATTTTAAACTATACATTGGAACATAAATATATTATCAAGGAAGGAATTATTGGTTATATAAAATAACTTAAATATATTTCGTAAATTAATAATTCGAATGAAAGGAAATATGAAATGTTTAAAGTTCATTGGCATATCGAGTTTACGCAACAAAATTAAAGTTTTCAAAATCAAAAATTATAAGCATAATTGGCAATTGCGAAAAATATTTCCTTTCAATATTACGAATTTATAGAATCATCAAATCAGCACTAACGCGGGCATCGCATCGATAGACCAATAATCCTAATTTGATGTATCGACGTATCGAACTAATAAATAAAAAATGTCACCTGTTGGGGGACAGTCGACTTATAAAAAATTTTGTTGACAGCATCTTCCATTTGACAAAAAAGTGGCACAGGTTTGTAAAAACCGCACCCTTCTATCTTCACGAATAACGGAGATACCGTATGATTTCAACCAAAATGGGACACCCTGTACATTTTGCAAATACGCCAGACCAGTTAATTATATAGAAGACTATAAATGTAAGAGAAGAATTCCGAACACGAAAAGTTGTTAAAGAAAGTAAATATGAAAGAGGATCATGGAGAAATAATAAATGAAAATGAATTAAATATTCTGTTACAAGTGGAGTATGAAAACCAAGTAACTATATATACTTGGAGAAATAATCGAAAAACAATCGTATCTACCACTGCTTGGCGAATTTGTAGAAGCATAATTTTAAGTCATTTAAAATATTCCGAACACCAAGAATTATGGGACGGGGATGAAAAACGTAGTGCAAATTTTATCCATTTTTAATTATTAACAAGTACTTAATTTTATGAATTGTTTAGTGCTTAATAAATACATTTTCTTTTGAAGCAGTATGTTTACTTATCTACAAAATATATTTGATTTTTAAAAGATTGTCGTATGTTTACTTTGTACTTTTTGTAACTTTTCATAGAGAATATAACTTGTGATATAACTGAGAATAATTTTGACAGATCTTAGTAGTTATATTAGAATTTTCTTGCATTACAGAGAGAAACATATTCATCATTTTTAAAATTTACATGGGATGAATAATGAATTCCGCCAGAAATATTCATAAACGGTCCGGTCTCGGTCTGTCTATAACAGAAGACACATGTTGAACACCTGTAGCAAAATCTCATGTCTTGGTTTGCTATTTATTTTTATTGTTTTTATATAATATAGTTTAAATGTGTTGATGTTCTTAAATATAGTTTAAATTGTTATAAAATTCTGCATTTCTCATTGCAAATATTACTTTCGTTTTAACTGATGCTTACAGCTAGAATTTTTTTGCATTACAGCCGGCGCCGTTCAAAGCCTATATACTTATTCAAAGTGGGCGAACTTTTAAAAACTTTATATCTTGAAGAGGAATCGAGCAAAATATCAAGTATGCGATATTTTTGGAAAGGTAATTTAATTTTTTTTCAATGAATTAAAAATACACAGGGTGTCCCATATAAGCATTCAATCTTTCTGTTGATAATTTTTAAATTATTATTAATTTTAAAAAATTATACTTAAATCATTAAATTCTACGTAAAAAGGTGCTTTAGAAATGTTTTCATAAAAATACAAAAATTTCCATAGCAAAAAAGTTTCATCAATTTGTAAAAAATGTACCGTTTTTGAAAAACACCCCGTAATTCTGAAACGGTAACATACCGAGTGCGTCTCAAAAGTGGCTCACCCCTTTTTATTTTTTCAGATAAAAAAAACGAGATTTGGTATGTTAGTATATGACGTAAATTAGGATTGACTGACGTATTCAATTGTTTTCAGTCACTTCCAGTTTCACCGAAAATGACTAAAACTTTTGATTTTTAAATAGCACCCTCGGAATTTTTTACTTTATTTGATAGAAAATGACATTCTGATTAGAATACCATATCGTATGTCAACTTTTGACATTCTGGTTTAATAAAAAATTGTATTATAAATTTTTTTGGCTATGTTAAAAACACTAATTTTTAATCAAGGAGCCTTGGAAAAATAGATTTGATCGTCTAATATTTTAGTGCCTTGTCGTGGCCGGGTAAAACATGCCCAAATCATCCATTTCCATTTCCATTTTTCCACCAAATCCACCAAATCCAATATGCAATCCAATCGCAACCTCAATTTTCTCAAATGGAACGAGGGTGGCTCATTAGCATATTTGGAAAAAGCATTTTTTTACGAATAATTTGATACCACACACTTGGTAATTCGACTCAAACTGTCGTTATGAACCACATGTTACAATTTCAAATAAACCATATTCGAAAATGTCAAAAGTTGCCATATCTTTCCATTCAGAGTTTCATTTTCTATCGAATAAAGTAAAAAAATACCGAGGGTGCCATTTAAAAATCAAAAGTTGTAGTAATTTCCGGTGAAACAAGAAGTAACCGAAAACAATTGAATACGTCAATCAATTCTAATTTATGTCATGTACTAACATACCAAATCTGGTTTTTTTAACTGAAAAAATAAAAAAGTTATAGGGGTGAGCCACTTTTGAGACGCACAGGGTACATCGATGTGTGGTTTTCATCATTATGTTTTTGATAAAAATTGAGTTCCTGACACCGATATTAGTTTTCGTCTATCTCCTATAGAAAACGGTGTTTAAAAGCGTCCAATTTGGCCCATCCTGTACAAGATGTTAAAAACTTAAAAAAAATCGAATTTCTTGCTTGAAATAAATGAAATGTCACTGATTTTTTTCGATAAAGAGATTTTTTTCTAGATTGTCAATATTTTTCAACTTAATTATTTTAATTTTTCTTTCTCGAAAATAATTCGATGGACAAAAAGAACTCAAGAGATCAATCTGAGAGAAAAGAGAAAAAAAATTCTTGTAAAAGTCAGTGGCGTACCATTTATTTTAATCAAATAGTCCAAAATTTGTGCGTATGGACACGCCACTGGTTCAAATAGAAAAACAATAGTTAATGCGACATATTGGAAGAAATTATTACTACATATCAAAATTGAAGAAAATATCTAAAATAGTTTCCGACATATTGGAAGAAACTCAATTCTTTTTAAATTTTTAACACCCTGTAGATCAGAAAGAAAGTACTTTAGCCCCCATATTCACATATACTTTTTTTAAACAATGGGGAATCGCGCCCTAAAAGTTTTTACATTACTTAGGAAACACTCTGTTTATACAGATATTTTCTGTATAAAATACACTGTAATTCCCATTTTATTGGACAAACAAATGTTCTATCTATTAAGATTACAGTTACTTACTTGTGTTTGGTCGCTTTCCTGCTTTACAAATTTGAAATGTTCCTTAAGATTATTTAGTTTTGAGTTAGTACTGTCTAAAGCATTTTTGGATTTGATTTTTCGAAGAGTTAGTTTGGCTAGTTCCTCTTCGAGTTTCTTATTTGTAGCATTTGCTACAGGTATTTGAAAACCACTCTCCCATCCGAGTTTTTTTAATATATCTTCCAAATATGCCATTATAATCACTTATGTTTATAGATCATTACTTGCTTGATTAGACGTACGTCAGAACTGAACATTTTAACGTAACCGTGAACATACCGTGAAACGGGTTACCTTGACGACCAAAGATTTATCGATGCCCTAAAGTTTCTACCCACCAATATAGGGTTCGATTAAAATAAATCGCATGTAAATTTGAACCTGTTTCTAAATGTATTGATTGATAATTTAAAAGGTCAATCTGGGGGCACAGCAGTGCCCCCGTCAAGTCGAGCACAGCCGTACCATCCTTTTCTCGAAGGTATTAGCGGCACTTTCGACCACCCTGTAACTTCGTAGTGGATAAAGCAAGAATATTAATTTTCACTATACTTGAAAACATAATATAGATGGCTAGGTTACCAAATAGTAATCTAAATAGATTATTACTATTTCGATTACTAAGTAAATCTAAACGATGCACTTAAGAATAAAGTTTTTTAATTACTATAGAATATCATATTGTGCAATTGCCAAGTCATTATAATTATTATAGAAATATAGATGACTAATATTGATACTAACAATTTATAACAAAATTGTTGAATAGGTGCTTAAAAAGAGACTAAATAAAATAAACTGACTTGGTTTTATATGAGATCTCACAACTTTTTATAGCGGATGAATTGTGTTGCGAGACTTGGCATTTTTTACATTCTATGTTTTTGATGGGATTTACCTTTATTTCATATATTAATGGCCTAACAACATCGCCGCGCCTCTCCGGAAGATCAACACAAAAAACAGACAAAAAACTAAGTTTTAAAATTAAAAATGGCCGTAACACCGTAAAATAAAGCTCAATTTTTACGGTTGTGGTATATATTATATTTCCTTAATTGTTGCGCTTTATTTTAGGTTAAAATTTAGGGTTTCGTCTTTCTTGTGGAATTGCGTCGTTGTTCTTCCGGAGCGGCGATATGCTTTTTTGTTACCTGCCTTGCGCATTCATTTCATGCATTTTAACGTTAATTATTTAACGTTGTTTCTTCTATCTCAGCTATAATTTGTAACTTACAGACTCAGATTCACTTTCATACAATATTTCCATACAATTCATTTCCAACTCAGTTCATGCTTTCATACCAAATAAACTTTTAACGTCGCGTGATTATAAGCTTGACCGGCACACATCGTTGCCCACTTTTATATATTTTCTTTTTAAATGAAAATATTTTAGAAAACAAAAACAAATTAATTATAAATATACCGGGTGCGTCTCAAAAGTGGCCCACCCCTATAATATTATAGATTTGGTATGTTAGTATATGACATAAATTAGGATTAATTGACGTATTCAATTGTTTTTGGTCACTTCCTGTTTCGCCGGAAATGACTGCAACTTTTGATTTTTAAATGGTACCCTCGGTATTTTTTTACTTTATTCGATAAAAAATTCACCGATTTTGCAACATGCGCAACCATCATAGGCGTATTGAAAATACCAGACCCAAAAGTCGGCGGTGGTCAGCAATCACCTGTTTTTTACATTTACTTGCGACGTCATTTGGAAGAGCTCAATAGAAATATAAAAGAACTAAAGCTTGTTTGGGAAGCAATTTGACATTCGTGAAGTGAACCGTTCGCAACGTTAAATAATTTTGATTTTTATCGTGATGGCTTTTTATAAAAGTGAAGAATTTAGTAAGAAAAATATTAATAATGGAGATGAACGTGTACGGATTCATGAATGGTCACGATCACGGTCACGACACTATAGAAATGTGAGGTATGTATGTATATATATAGGTATAAGGTATGTATGTATATATATAGGTATAAGGTATGTATGTATATATATAGGTATAAGGTATGTATGTATATATATAGGTATAAGGTATGTATGCATATATATAGGTATAAGGTATGTATGTATATATATAGGTATAAGGTATGTATGTATATATATAGGTATAAGGTATGTATGTATATATATAGGTATAAGGTATGTATGTATATATATAGGTATAAGGTATGTATGTATATATATAGGTATGTATATATATATATATATATATATATATATATATATATATATATATATATATATATATATATATATATATATATATATATATATATATATATATATATATATATATATATATATATATATATATATATATATATATATATATATATAATATATATATATATATATATATATATATATATATATATATATATATATATATATATATATATATATATATATATATATATATATATATATATATATATATATATATATATATATATATATATATATATATATATATATATATATATATTATATATATATATATATATATATATATATATATATATATATATATATATATATATATATATATATATATATATACGAAGAAAGAAATTTATTGGGCAAGTCCACAGAAAGATTAGTCATGATACATGACTAAAACATGACTACCCGTAGACACTCAGTGTTTCTGCCTTCCGGCTTCATCAATACGGGAGAAATCAGCAGCGATGAACTAGCGATCCTGAAAAAAGAGAAAGAAAAGGAGAAGCAAACGAGGCACAAAGGCGCCATTTGCAGCTGGTCCGGCAGTAGCTTACAATTTGAAGCGTTACTACCGAAACCGCCGCGGAGGCGTTCCAACACACCTCACCGCTATCACCCTGGCCCAGAGAAAACAATAAACAAAGGAAGTTATCGTGGAAACTATAAAAAAACGAAGAAAGAAATTTATTGGGCAACAATTTAAAAATATTTTTACAAGATACAGAGTGTCTCAAATAAATAAAAAATATCAAAGTTGTATTTTTTTAAATGGAACACCCTGTATATTATTACATTTTTAGTTTCTATGATTAAAATAAAGGTAAATTTGATAAAGGTTTATTACACTTAAACCTTACCGTTTTTGAAATATTTTCAACTTTGTGAAATTGCAGTCAAAATGTTAAGGCTTCATTTCTCCAAGGCTATCGAAGTTTTTAATACTAAATATTTACTGAAGTTTATTTATTGATCAGTTATTGTGTTGCAATAATGAAAATTATACTACCTTATACAGAGTGTCTAAAATTTTATTTTAAATAATGACTAGCTTTAAACGGCAATAACTTGTTTAATTTAAATGGAACACCCTGTATATTTTATGAGAATCAGATGCACAATTTAATTGTCTATCAAATTGTGTTATACCATTTTTTACCTATAGCTTCAAGTTTCCGTAGAAAATGCATTTTCTTGTAATTTTAAATTCATTTATCTATATACCCATGGAATACTAACATTTTAGATTATTTTTAAAAATGTACCAAATTTTTAAAGAGTACAGATACTAATATTGTCGATATAGTTTATTTATTTCATTAAAAAATAAAAAAAACTGTTTAAATATTTGTCAAAGAGGACCAATTAATATGATTCCAGTATTCAAACTACATTAATTGACTGTTTGCGTTGATTAATAATAATTGCTCCAAAAACTAAAAAAACTTAATTTTCTTTGTGTATTAGACAGTGTGGTAAAAAGTAACACCTTAAAAATGATATTTAATTTTTTGACAAATGGTTATTTGTAACAACAGAGACATTCATTTTTATAACTTATTATTATATTGATTTCTGATTCAAATCCACATTTATTTAGATTAATTTGTTCACGAACATAATTAAGTATGTAATTAATTAGTCTTTGGGCGGAAATAATGGTGGTATGTTTAATTAATGATGTACTCTTTTATGAAGATTTAAATAGTTTTCTTTTTGCATACAAATGGGCTAGTAATATTATCTTTTTGTTAAAAACGATAATATTACTAGCCTGTACATTTTGTACATTTGTTGCTTTAAAAACAATCTAAAATGTCAATATTCCATGGGTATATTGATAAATGAGGTCTAAATTATAAAATAAATGCATTTTCTACGAAAACTTGAAGGGATAGGTAAAAAGCGGTATAATACAATTTGATAGACAATTAAATTATGCATCTGATTCTCCTAAAATATACAGGGCGTTCCCTTTAAATTAAACAGGTTATTGCTGTTTAAAGCTAGTAATTATTTAAAAAAAAATTAGACACTCTGTACAAGGTAGTATAATTTTTATTATTGCAACACAATAACTGATCAATAAATAAACTTCAGTAAATATTTAGTATTAAAAACTTTGATACCCTAGGAGAAATAAAGCCTTAAAATTGTTACTGCAATTTCACAAAATTGAAAATATTTCAAAAACGGTAAGGTTTAAGTGTGATAAACCTTAATAAAATTTACCTTTATTTCAATCGTAGAATCTAAAAATAGAATAATATACAGAGTGTTCCATTTAAAAAAATACAACTTTAATATTTTTTACTTATTTGGGACACTCTGTATCTTGTAAAATTATTTCTAAATTGTAGCTCTAATAGTCCTTCAACGAACCCAAAACTTAAAATTTGTAAAAATCTATTCGTTTAGCTACAATACTCCGTGTCGTATGTGGTGAACAACCCTGTATATATATAATTATAAAAGGTTGAGATTGCATGCATCTTGCATAAAAAATGAGATTCCATGTAAAATAAGTCAGTTTATTTAATTTAATTTCTCTTTAAGCACCTATTCAACAATTTTGTTACAAATTGTTAGTATCAATATTAGACATCTTTATTTCTGTAATAATTATAATGACTTGACAATTGCACGGCACCATAATTAAAAAAGAATAATCTACCATTTCGATTACTAAGTAAATCTAAACAGTGCTCTTAAGCAGTGGCGGGTGCAGAAGGGGGTCCATGTGGCCCGGGCCCTCTCTAAGATATATAAATTGGGTTAAATATTAGGCTTTTGGGTTAAAAATGGCGTCTTAAAAAGCATATTGCTTGTAATAGCATTACTTTTTATTGGGCAACCTAACTAATCCCCCCCCCCCTAAATTAAATTCCTGTATCCGCCCCTGCCCTTAAGAATAAAGTTTTTTAATAATTACTAGAGAATATCATATCGTGCAATTGCCAAGTTATTGTAATTATTACAGAAATAATGATGTCTAAAATTATTGATACTAACAATTTGTAACATAATAATTGTTGAATAGGTGCTTAAAGAGAAACTAAGTAAAATAAACTGACTTTTGGTTTTACATGGGATTTCACAACTTTTTATAATGGAAGAATTGTATTGCGAGACTTGGCATTTTTTACATTCTATGTTTTTGACGGGATATACACACATTCAAAATTATATATAATCATCTATTATTTTTCATAATTTTTGAGACGTATGAAAATGTCGTGTTTATGAATAAAACTCAGTCCTTACCAATGGCTTTTAATGAAAAATAATCCATATAGCAACAAAAAAAATCAGTTCCCAAAATTAACACAATGGAGTTTTTTTGGTTCCTGAAACGAAATTAAGATTTAAATTTTTATTGGCCAAAAAACAAAAGGAAAAAGAAAATTGATAATTTTAATAATTCTTGTTCCCATCTCTAGCCCTTATGCAAGCTTCTATCCGCACTGGCATGCTTCTTATTAAATTGTCAACGTTGTCTTAGGGTATGTTCTCCCATTTTGTTAATACTGCATCAATAAGATGTGCGAGATTTCCTGGATTGTTTCGACGAGCTCTAATCCTGCTTTGGAGCTGGTCCTACAAGTGTTCGATAGGGTTTAGATCTGGTTGTACGTGCAGGCCAGTCCAAAACTGTGACACCTTCCGGTTCAAGACATTCTCTAGTCACTCTGCTGGTATGGGGAAGTTAAAATTATCCCCAATTGCAGCTCTCCAAAGAATAATAATTGGTTCTACCACTAGATCAACATACCCCCGACCCGTTAAAGTTTGTTTAAGAGGTAACAAGGGAGTTTTTGCTCCCAGCATAATACCTCCCCAGAACATTATAGTTCCTCCTTTCATATTGGTAAAGATTTGGCAGCCTGGAGTCTCGCTCGTCTTCCTGGAGCTCTGAAAACCCGAATTCGATGGTCATCTGATCTTAAGCCAATTCTGGTCTCATCCGAAAAAAGAACATTTTGCCAATTCTCAGTTGTCCAGTTTTGATGTTGAAGGCATCAATTTAGCCGGTCAATTCTATTTTGCCGAGATAACTGTGGAATACGTAACTCTCTCCTGCTGTAAAACCCTCGAGCACCATGGGCGCCGGACAGGGGGGTCAAGAGGGGGCATTTGCCCCCCCCCCCCTGGATCACTGAAACAATAAAAATAAAAGCTATCTTCTTACATCCATCTGTAAAAAAAATAATCATTATTATGAAATTGTTAGGTGTTACCTGTAAAATAATAAAAAATGTGGTAATTGTTGGGAAAACTGGAAATCGTCCGATTTTCACCAAAATTGGTACACACACTATTTTGAGGTCGTAGATTACGAATCTATTTTTTCTTGGCGGTCTCTTACCGTTTTCAGAAAAACGGAAAATTATTTCAACATTGAATTTTTCTTTATTTCGGCCCTATAAAGTAATAATTTCACTATATTTTCATTATATTATAGTTTATCTAAAAGCCACACTTGATTGGGGATAGAAAAGTGTCCAACATTTTACTGAAAAACACTTTTCTTAACAAAATAGCAAAGAAAATTGAGACCAGATGGAAGTTTGACATTTGATATATCCTTCTTTCTCTCTCCTATGTAATAAGAGAGACAAATATATTCTAGACCTAATCTAGAAATTTGAAAATTTACAACGTTGCCATATCTTCTATTTTTTCGGGTGATTAGGGATTTTAAATAAATTACCTATTATGAGATCGACAATAATTAAATATACACCTATATCCACAAAATTACGCGGAAGAGTTTTGATTGCATTGGTTTTAACTTCTTTGCGGAGGGGGTTAATCTTTTTTTAGTTAATCTAATAATATAACAACAAAAGATTAACACCCTCTGCATGGAAGTTGTAACCAATGCAATCAAAACTCTTTCGTGCAACTTCGTGGGTATAAATAGTCAGATCTCGTTGGTAAAATAGCAGTTATGGGAAGGAGCCGTTCTTCTGGCGACCGCCTTTCGTAATTCCAGAATGAGCGAAAAAAACACGCTAAATTTAGGTTTAGCATTGGCAACGTTGCTTTAAATGCCAGAAACACATAAACTTACTTCGGGTTTCTCTTATTACCGATTCTGAACCGTCCTAGAACTGTGATGCGTATGCGCAGAAGGAAATATGAAGACATTATTTCATTTGCGCATGCGCTGCAGAGTTCTTGGACGGTTCAGAATCGGTAATAACAAGAACCCGAACAAAGCTATAACCTAACATTTTCAGATTGTTTACAAATTTATTTTAGCAAATTTTCCTCTATTATGCATAGAATTGGTTAAAAAAGTAACAGCAAATAGCAAAAACATTATTGATTATTGAATACCTAACAAAATATGTGCTAGAAAACCTTAAAAATATGAGAAATTAAGAAAAATTCGATATTGAAATTATTTTCCGTTTTTCTGAAAAACGGTAAGAGACCGCCAAGAAAAAAGTTCAGATTCGTAATCTACGACTTCAAAATAGGGTGTATACCAATTTTGGTGAAAATCGGACGATTTCCAGTTTTCCCAATAATTACCAAAAAAAGTCAATTTTTTATTCATTTTTACCTTGCCCCCCCTAAATTTCATTCTTCCGGCGCCCATGTCGAGCACGAAGCCTTTTTCTTATGGTTTCAACTGAAACGTTCACATCTGTAGCCTGTAGCTACCAGAAGTTGTCTTTATAGCTCTGGATGAGAAACATTGGGATTTCTTCTAGCATTTTGGCACACAAGGCGGTCTTGTTCAGTTGTGACTCTTTTACGACTTTGTCTGGGCCTGTCCTCGTGTGTTTCTAATTCCATGTAACTTGCATAAAACATTATGTTTTCGATACAACACCCTGGATAACGCCTACTATCTCTGCTACGTCTCATTGGGGCATTTCTTCTTCAATGAGAGCCATAATTCTTCTCCTTAGTACATCTGTTAATCCAACATAAGGCCATAATTTTCTATTTTTTTTTGGATCGAATGAAAATTACTACTGAACACAAAATTCAAAAGAAAATAAATCGCAGCAGTCGTTTATTCTTTATTATCATGTTTATTTACAACAAAAAGCCTTATCTTAAAGTTGTATACCAAATTTTTCCTTGCAAGAAATTTAGTCAGAAATAAAGAGCGATTCCATATAGGTAAGTTTGGTTATGTGTAATTTAATTTAGATACAAATAATATGAGTGTTTTGTTAAGGTTATTTCCAGGCGTTCTTTCTTTCTCAAATATATTCCACATCCTGACACTTCCGGTTCAAACGGAAGTGGTTAAATTGAGTATAACATCCTCTATATTATTTGATTTTTGAATTCTAAACACATTTTGTATGTACTGTCATATAGGTACCTAATTTTAGCTGTTTTTGAAATAATTCCAATTTTAAGTCAAAAATAGTATTTGGAGAGATAACAATAATTAAAATATATTTCAGCGATCAATACATTTTTTCATGAGTTTATGTTATTTGTCTTTTAGAAAATATTGTACTCTAGTTAAATCTTTACAATAATTTCTCAAATATTATACCCAGTGCTCATAAAAATGCTGCAAACATTACGTTAATAAACTATAAAAACTCGATTTTTTAAATGGAAATTCCAATTTTCTTGTTTTTAATTTATTTATCATCAAAAATTAAGGTGGCTTTTAACCCCCGCCTCCTCGTATATGCGCCCCTGATTTGCTGATACGTGTTTGGTTTATTTTGCATGGAACCTTATTATGCAAGTACCGTATGATCGAATAAAAACGGCGTAAGCGATGGCTATGAAATGAAGATCGCTGTCATTTTATATGTAAATTTATATGGGAAATGTTATCGATCGTCATTTCCCAGCCAACTGGACGCCGATTTTTTTCGATCATACGGTATATTTGACGCATAGCCGTAATAAGTAACGTTATGCATTATTCTTATATTATCTTATTTATAATTTATTTTGATATTTTCTTATAGTAATTTGAAATAGAAATGCAATAATATTGCAAATAATATCGTCGAAATACCCAGTAACCATAAGGCAACTAAACATTTTTATTTTATAAGCTTCTATACCTAAATATAGCTGAACTCAACAGGGTTTTAAAAATAGAAACGAAAATTTGAACGTTAATTTGCGTTTCGAACCTCAATTTAAAGTGTATCTTGAAAATTATCCGTAATGTTGCTCTCCTGTCCTTTGTGTTGCAAACCACATTTTGAAGGGGTGGATTCTTTAAGGACAACTCTTGTGAACGTAGCTACTTCTCCATTGACTTGTCCAGTATGCAAGGATACGTTATTAGGTTTAGACAAATTAACCATTCATTTATTTGGGCACGTGAATGACACAAATTCGGGTTTAGTTACAAGTGAAGAGACAATTGTCAACAAAAACAGTGAAAACATTAATATTGGTCAAAAATATGAAACGAAGATATGTCAGGATCCGGAAATTTCAGCTCCTACTGTAAGTAGTTTTATGGAATTACTCTTTAGAAAGCTTTAGAAAAGTAATCATTCTTACAATATCTACAGTGGTGCATACGAAAAAGTTTGCAACCAATAGAAAAAAATAGCAATGAATTGTTGAAAAAAAAATGCGGAATGAACAATGAACAGCATGCTCAATAACAAAAATCTCGATTTCTGTATTTCGGGATTTTTGAAAAATGAAATATATCGTGGTAACTACAACAATGTCGAAAACTTGGAAAATGCTACCAATACGGGATAAGTTTGCAAATGCTTTATTAAAACACGTTATAAAAAATATATATTCAGAAATTTAGTAGTAACAATTTAAAAGTAAAATGTGTATGAATATTTTAGTGAATACCATTTTGATTTTTTTTATTATCTATCACGGCCTACTATTCCTACTAATAAGAAAATGATATATTTTAAATATTGCAGTAAATAGTGAAACTAAATATAGAGTGTTATATATTTTTGAGAAGCTCATAGCAAGCCGGATCATATGATTAATAAATATACAGAGTGTTCTGTTTGAGAAAACATAACTTTATTTCATATCTTCAAAAAAAATTACAGAAAAACATACAACAATGTAAAAAACTCTACAAGAAATAGTTTTCACCTTTCACAATAACAGAGATACAGGGAGTTTCTCAAATTGCAAACTTTTCAAAAAGACCCTGTAGTTCAGAAACGCAGAGGGTTATGCAAATTTTGTTTGCAGCATCTTCCGTCTGAATAAAAAGTGGGGGTTTGTGCAAGCCGCATCTTATCTTCACTCACAAAACACATACACAAGAAGAAGTGCGAGCGCCTTGCTAAATATTGGAAAGTGAAATTGACGTTTAAATTTGACACTGTTGACAAGTCTACTGCTACTAGCGCCCCCAATTTCGCTTGTAGGAACTACGGACTAAATTGTCACGCATGGCGGGAAGTTTAAAAAAATAAAAAAATTTATTTCTTCATTTATTTTTAATTATGACATACACAAAAACACAAAAAATACACCATTTTTTAAAAATATGTTTAATATCAATATCAAATATACAACAGAAATTAATTTCACCACAATAAATTAATAAAATTAAAAGAATAATGTTACAAGTAGATCAAGAGACAAAATTAATTATAACAAAACTGAAAAAAATGGCGTCATAGATGGCTTAGAAATAAAAGATATATCATAATTTTGAAAGTAAAATTATATGGGAAATGTCTTCGATCATCATTTTTAAGCCAACTGGACGATTATTTCAAACATACAAGCTGAGTTCGTTCATAGTGCTCTGAGAAATCTAGATAAACAAAGAATAATAAATTAAAAGTATTCCAGGGGAAAAGAGAGGAAAAACCTGTATCGTCTCTGATATCTGTCAGGGTATTGTTGAAAGTGTCATCTTTTTGCTCGAAGTTTTCAGGTCGATCAAAAAGATGACATTTACAACAATACTTTGCTGTAACTTTCACAAATATCAGAGAGAGTACATACAGGTATTGCCTCTCTTTTCCTCTGGGATGCTTTATATCTGTTGTTCTTTGTTTATCTATATTTCTCAGAGCATAATGCCGAACACGACTACAGTATATAATAATTTCAATATCCGAAGTGGAAAGAAAAAAGATCACCTTTCTGTTTTGTACTATGGTCCCTTTCTTCCGATGGCTCATCTCGTTGATATTTAGGAAGGATAAATAGGAAGGAAAATATAAAATTCAATTTGATTTGATGATCCTTTTCTGTCACCTAAAATCAGGAGAACGACAATGAGCATGTTAAGATGAAAAAAAAATTATCAACACTTACCTACACGTTAGTCCGAGGAGTTTTATTAAAAACCTATATTTGCCTAAATAATTTATGTATTAAATTTGCAAAGCAAAATGCAGCGTGTAAACAAAAGAAATAAAATGGCGACAAGTCAACGTCAACGACCCGACAAGGAGAAAAGTGGTGTTCGAATAACAAATTATGGGTCACCAAAAATTAATTTTGTCTCCTTTCAACGCACACTTTAGAAAGAAAAAGAAATGAACTGGAATACTGAAAGAACGTCAAGGCTTTATCTGTCACTCTTGTCAATAATTTATCGGTAAGGAAGATTCCTAGAAAATCGCTTGTAGTCAAGTTTTCAATCATTGCCAGTTCTCCCATAAGAAGTGTCATCCACCTGTCTTCACTAATAACGGAGATACAGTATGCTTTCAACCAAAATGGAACACCCTGTACAGGGTGGTTCAAGTTCGACGCTTTTAAATGGAAACACCCTTTTCTATAGTGTTTTTCATGTTTTGTAACTTTTTTGCTATGGAAAATGTTGTATTTCTATGAAAACATTTCCAAAGCACCTTTTTACGTAAAATTTAATGGTTTAAGTATATTTTTTTAAAATTAATAATTTAAGAGTTATCAACAGAAAAATTGATTTTTTTATTTGGGACACCCTCTATATTTTTAATTAACTGAAAAGAATTTAAAATCACCTTTTCAAAAATATAGCACACTTGATATTTTGTTATAATCCCCTTCGAAATACAGAGTTTTTAAAAGTTCGCCACTTTTAACTAGTAGGCTTTGGACCCCTTATTGATGATATGCCCTTAATGGAACTGGAAAACATATTTTTCCAGCAAGACGACGCACCGCCTAAGAACGCTGAAGTTATCAGCAAATTTTTGCAGCCAATTTCAAGAATAATTGAATAGCTAACCAAGATCCCAGCCGTTGGCCGTCGAGGCCGCCTCACTTAGTGCCCATGGATCTAATCCTATGGATATATTTGCGGAAGAATAAAGGTTCCTTATTCTTTCGTATAATCTACACAAGAATTAGAAATACTTAGCAGTTATGAGAGGGTATCTTTAACCCCCACTGAGTTAATGAATTCCGCGAGAAATGTTTAAAAACTACCCCGTCTGTCCATATGTCGAACCCCTGTAGCAAAATCTCATGTCTTGGTTTGCTATTTATTTTTATTGTTATTAGATATAGTTTAAATGTGTTGACGTTGGTTAAATATATTTTAAATTGTTATAAAACTCTGCATCTCTGATAGCAAATATTATTTTCGTTTTAATTGATGCTCACAGCTAGATGCACAGCTAGCTTTTTGCATTACAGCCGCACAGTGGGCAAAAATCCAGAAGTATGTTGCAAAAATTCTTTTTTTATACGATTTTATTCAAATTTGGTAAAAACATTCTATGCCAGTAGGCCGTGAACCCTGTTAGTTTTGGCTGACTTGAGAGTGGTTGGGGGTGGTGAAGGGGATTCATAAAATGGAAAAATCATCTTTTGACTAATACAGCTACCAAAATGCGGTAAGAATATTTTACATTTCACTAAATTTTACGATTTTTGGCAGGGACAAGATAAAACAGACAAATATTGAGCAATTATTACTCCTCTGCCATATACAGGGTTTGTTTTATATATTGACATCCTCTGTATCTTTTTTATTCGACGTTTTCGAAAAAAGTGTCTTGAATAAAAGTTTAACGGTCTCGAATACATTTTTCAAAACAGTCTTCTTTGCATATACAGGGTGCCTTAGAAATCCTGTGTGTGGCCCAACTTTCTTATTTCAAATTAGTACCCAATTTTTTATTTGATTTTTATTTTCTCCTAAAAATCCTAACTACTTTTTTGTAGCATAGCCTATACCTAATTTGAAATAAGATAGTTCAACCACGCCCAGACTTTTTGAAGCACTTTGTATATGCGAAATAGACTTTTTTGGCAAATTTATTCAAAACTACTTTCATTTGAAACAGTTTTCGGAAACGTCAAATAAAAACCATAAAAGAGGTGTCAATGTATATAAGAAAACCCTAGTATACTAATCCAATCGAACTTTTATTCAAGATTGTTTGTCATTTGAATAAGTTGGGTCTCTAATAATACCAGGCAATATGTGAATAATATTTTATTATTATATTTTAAATAAGTAATAATATTCTGAGAATTAAACAATGACAATTTAGAAAATATTAGAACTTATACCTATTAAAAATATCTAAATTTTATTTTAGCACCTACTATTTACTGATATTTTGTTTTATAATAGTTGGAAGCAATGGTCACGAAGTGCACATTTTTAAATCTGAAAGAAAAATCCATTTCATTTAATTTAAAAAATTAGGTACTGTCAAAATTTGTCAATTTGTCAAAAAATGTAATTTGACATTTATGACATACCTCTTCGGAAATCTTGAGAAAAGTTACGTAACTTTATATTTCAAGTTCTTCTCTAGCTCTAGCTACTATAACAATTAATTTATGAGAAGTATCCACATAAAGGATGTTACTATACACATACGCATGGAGGCTTACGCTTCCAATAAATTTAATGTTGCGATTTTTTTGCGATTTTTTTGACTTAACTTTTCTAAGATAGAATATATGCCACTATCAAAAAAACCTTAAATGATTATGTTCTACTTTGACCTTTACCTAGTTTTTATCCAAAAAATCAAAATAAAAGATACTTTTTTACTTACCTTCACATTAAATTTACCCCAACCGGGAATCTACGTAAAACACGTTATGACAATTTTACAATAATTTGTGACAGTAAGCTAAGGTCGTCCGATTCAATTGTTATAATACTGTGTCACTTGAATGCAACGCCTACTATTTAAGAAATTGTAGAAAAAAGGCAGTTATTGGACACAAATTAACTGAAAATGTAGGTTTTGCGCAAAATTCGTTTTACAGCCCCTCGAAAGAGACTCCGAATATGTTTTTTTGTTAGTTTTATGTGGTTTCCTCTTAACTAATATGTTTCCAATCTAATGTTATTGCCATAAATGTTAACTGTGGATGTTATTTTTTGCAACTTGGTTTGGACATATTGCCTACTGTGAGCCGGTGCCGTTCAAAACCTACTTATTTAAAGCGGGCGAATTTTTATATACTCTATACCAAGTGTGTTATATTTTTGGAAAGGTAATTTTAAATTATTTTCAATAAATTAAAAATATACAGGGTGTCCCATATAAAAAATCAAATTTTCTGTTGATAATTCTTAAATTATTAATTTCAAAAAAAATTATACTTAAACCATTAAATTCTACGTAAAAAAGTGCTTTGGAAATGTTTTCATAAAAATACCAAATTTTCCATAGCAAAAAAGTTACAGCGATATGTTAATAATTCATATTTTTAAAACACCCCGTAACTTCGAAATGGTAACAGATATCGATATGCGGTTTTCACTATCATGTTTTTGAAAAAAATGAGTAATTTTCGAGTAATCTCCTATAGAAAAGGGTGTTTCCCTTTAAAAGCGTCCAATTTGACCCGCCCTGTCTCAATATGTTTTTAGTATTATTTATTTTTTTTTTTCATTTAATTTATAAATTATATGGGTAAAGAGAAAAAAAACATTTTATTTCCAGCTCCCAAAGAACAACGATGTTAAAGCATCATCAAAATATGACGTACCAGATGTCGAAGCTGTATCAGAAACTATTACGTGTGATATTTGTAGTTTCACATTTTCAGACAGGAATATCCTTGACATGCATCAGAAACTTTTACATCAGACGATTCCTGATAAAAAGACAGGACAATACGCCTACCACTGTCACTTATGCAGTAAGAAGTTTAGAATGAGAGGAAGCCTCATGGTTCATTTGCGGGTAAATTTTGTAATTTTAATACAAACGGTTGTTGAGTTAATTATTATTAATATTAATAACATTAACATATTTTATTTATTTTAATTCGTTTGTTAAATATTACTTATTTGCTTTAGATGTAAGTATATCACTGTATAATGTCCTATTTTTATTGCAATTATTTTTCGCTTATTAATAACGACAGAACCTCACGATTTTCCAGGGTTGGAAAAAATCATGATTTTTTAAAAAATAAAAAAAAATTGATTTTTTTGAAAATTTGATTCCCACACCCGGCATTTCATCAGCCGACTATTTTTATTAAAATAAAAATAGTTTGGGTACCTAGGTCGACTCAGCCTTAAATAACTTGGGATTCACAATCCTGAGGTAATAATAGGCGGTTGAAGCGTAGTGCTAGCCACATTACCTTCCTTGTGTACCGAACGGCTCTAGTATAGCGAGCTGTACCTTGCTACTCCCAAGGCGTTAAACGCTATATACGGGAGCTATTATTATATCTATCGTCAAAGTGTAAAAGATTTGAAGATATAGTCTAACATCAAAAGAACCTTTTTCTGCACTAGAGGTTGCGGATGAAATGTATTCGAACAGCATTTTTTTGTCACTTGTACATAAATTTCAAAATAAATCCATGCCCTTTAGAAATCTAATGGATTCACACGAAATTACTTCAAAAATCGGTCCAACATTTTAATTGATGGACAGATATGTAGTACAGTACGTCTGTCCGTTCTGTAGCTACGGGGTATCCGTGAGAGGGGAAATAATATTTTCTCGATGTTTTTGCTAAAAAATTAGACGACGCGTCTCATCAATAAAAATTCAACAAATTTGTAAGTAGCCAATAAAACGAGTGGGCGGAGCTTTGAATAAGAAGACTAAGGAAGGAGCATATCAAAAATCTTAGGTAGACCGCGATGGGCCTCAAATATGGCCGACTTTAATTCCGGTTTATTAGTGTCGTTCTAATTTTATTTAAAAAACGTAAAACTATGATGTAGGGTAGACGTGGGGTAGACTCAATAATTTGTAGTTTTATTTTACGTTGTGAATAAATGTTGGTAGTTATTAAAATTGTTATAAAAATATATAATTCTAATAAAAATAGATAAGTTATAATAAGTGTTTATTACCACAAACATCCGATACGCTACTGAAGCAGGTAAGTCAAATTAACGTATCTAAATTCTTTGACATCTAATCTTTGACAAGTAATAAATAAAAGCTAAAATGCAAGAAAAATATATAATTTAGTTAATTTAAGTGAATTTTATAAATGATCGGTTTACTACACGTATGTATATTATATAGTCACTTACTAGCGAAACGTTGTTCCATTATTTCACTCAATTTTTGCCGAGATCTACCGCATGCTACACAATCAACTATTTTAGAGTCTTTTTCGATAAATCGCGATAGTGTCACTGTTAATTTAAGTGCTGCCACAATTTCCATCTAGATTTACTACCTTTATACAACTATCAGTAGTAGAATAAATAATAAATAACATAAAATAAGCTCCGTAAAGACTGACAAATCCACAAAATTTCAAATCGAATTCAAATGTGTCAAATGAATCGTCAAACAGAACTGTCAAGGATCCCCACCCTAGAGTGCTTTTATGGCGCTTTTTCCGCCCACCATGCATGAATACATGGATAGCATTATGCTCCTTCCTTAGTCTTCTTATTCAAAGGGGCCGGGCGGAGCGATTTGCGGTGACGTACTCCTCAAGTCGACGTATAAAATATATTGCTGTTTATTTAAATGTTTTTTGTCCGCATTCCTTTCATAGACACAGATCCAGCAGACGTACAGTAGGTATATGTGTTATACAAATCATTTTTCATATAGTTTTATAACATTTACAATTTTTTTCGATTTATTAACTTATTTAAACGTTACAATAGAGTGTAACATTTTATTTAACGAATAGATATAGGGTATATATGTTATAGAAATATTTTTTATATTTTTCTAGGACACATTTTTATAACTTTTACAGTTATTTTTCGATTTATTGTAAAGTTTTTAGAATATAATAGATATAGGGTATATATGTTATAGAAATATTTTTTATAGTTTTCTAGGACACATTTTTATAACTTTTACAGTTATTTTTCGATTTATTGTAAAGTTTTAAAAAAAGCTGATTTTTTTTAATTTAAATCACATGATTAAAATTAAAAAAATCACTTGATTTAAATCACGATTTAAATCATGATTTAAATCATGCCAACCCTGCGATTTTCACAAACTTTATAGCTAGTTTTTTTGTGAAAATTAAGATGCCACAAACCAAACTGTCATATCTTTTTTTCTCTCGTTTCTCAGTTGCCAGTAAAAACATGTACTACCTACTTATCAAATTTCATTGACAGTCACTAATCCCTAGATCATTTCTATTAACGTATCTCAAACAAATTCGAAATTAGATACCATAATAATCCGATGTTTTACTACAGTCGAATATATTTATTTTATTGTGAAATTCATATATTTAAGTAATCAAAAGCTAAAAAAGCGTTCATCGAGGATACTTAGGAATGAACACTAATTCAAATTTCATTATAAATTACTTATATATAATTAATTCTAAGTAATTTAAACTATACCAAAATGTTGTAGGTTGCCCATTATGGATTCAGTAATCACATTGAATTACCTCCACATTTGTTACGCCGTAATTCAAATAGTCCCCAAGTTATCCAATCAAAAGATAGAGCAGAAGCAGAATCAAAAGGTAAGGATGTTTCTTACCATTACTCAAAAACTTTAAAAACTTTAACATATAAAACAGTAATCATTGTTTTAAGATAATGTTTAAGATATGTTTAAGCTATTAAAACATAATTATTTTAATCTACATTGTAATATATTTGTCCAAGGGCGTGCAACAAGTATTTATAAAAATGAGTGAGATCCAGTGGCGGCTCGTCAGGGTAAGCAAGGTAGGCGGCGCCTACCCTAAGATTTTGGCAGAATTTAAGCGATTTATTACATTACATTATTTACTATTAATGTTGCCAATACATAAAAATACTGTTAATACACTGAAGTGTGTTTTAATATTCAATATTATTTTAATATTTGTGGTTGTATATTAACATATTCACTACCGCTAGCGTACGCTGATCGCTGACTGTGCCGCTGCGTTAGAAAACTCTCTGTGCTATTTCAATTCGATATGTTAATAAAAGCGGCTAAGTCAAATATCTTTGCGAATTTTATTTTTATGAAATATTAGATAACATTGTTATACATTTAGAAATAAGGTTTGCAGATAAGTACTCGTATGTCTCAATTATTTTTATTTTTATCTCTTGCGGATCCAAAATTTAAAGAATCCTATAAAAAATTTCCAACGCATTTAACATCTGATTTAACAAACTTGTTATATTGATACATTTCCAACTTCCAACGCATTTAATAGTGATTTAACAAACAAAAAATTTTATTGGCCAACATAAATTAATTAATAAATTGCAGGTATTAATAATAGATATAATAATTTCGATTATAAAATAATTTAAGGAGGATAATCCTGGAAATATATTTCCAGAGACTTTCAAATTGTTTGTTTTGTTTGTTACTGTATCATTTTCAAGTACTTGGGTCGAGAGACATTTTTCATGTTTGAAATTTATAGTAGAGATTCCATGAATAATAAACGTTTATCGCCACTTGCTTTACTTTCAATTTAAAAAGATCTGTTCACAGCTCTTCAACAATCTGATGATTTTACTGATATAATAATTAATAACTTTCCTTTATTAAGAGACCGACCCATCAATTTAATATATAAAACATAATTATTCTTTCTCTTATTACTACCAATTTTTAAGTTTGCGTAAATAAATAAAAATATAATAAAATTCTATGATGTACTCCATAGTGACTCCATAGTAATAGATAAAAAAATAATAGATAAAATAGATTAATAAAAACTATACTTGTACATTATGTCAATCATTATGTCATTACGTTGAATGCTGTTATTTTTGCTTTAGTTTTGTCCTAAAAAATTTTGAGCAATGTTTTTAACCTAGAGATAACATATATTTACAAACTGGGCTGGGGTATTATGAAAATTAGAGGAGGGGGGGGGGATAGACGCAACTAAAATTCTGTCGCCTACCCAGTCACACGGGTCACGAGCCGCCACTGCAAACCTCTAATTCATTTTAACTCTTTTTCTTAATCTCTCAAATCTAGAAGATGAAGACTTGTATGGTTAGTAGTAGGATGGTACAACAAAACAAAAACAAACAACGCTTTATTGTGCAAAAAGCCAAAACAGCTTCATCGACAACGCACTCACAAACAACAAAATCACAAAAAAATACAAACAACAAAAAATACACAATACAAATAATACAATTCAAAAAAATTTAAGTCTTTAAAATTACAAAAAGAATATACATGGACAATTTTAGAACAGTACGCAGTAAATAGATATAATTTTAAAGTTATAGAATATTAAATACTTGACCTTTGACCAGTGTGTGAGATGATCAAAATTTTAAAATACAAAATTGTTCATAATTAAACATCAACAAAAAAGTCGTTTACCGCATATAGGGCTCTCTCCAGTAGGTATGATTTTAAAGCTTTGCGAAATGCGGGAAAGAATGAAAGCGATTTGATATTCAAAGGCAGATGATTGTACATTTTTTGGCATTGTACAGTATTGAACGCTTAACTAGTTCTGAGCTCGGGGTTGGCAGATAAAAATCGTGCTCTGCATTCCTAAGTGGATAGTTATGAGATGGCCTTTCGGGAATAGCAGATATGTGCTTGCGGATTAAGCAAACGGATTCAAAATGAATAAAGAAGGAAGAGTCAGTATTTTCAAATTTTTAAAGAAATTCTGGCAGTGAGTTCTACTGTTTAGTCCCAATAAATATCGAACTGCTCTCTTCTGAAGTATGAAAACACGATCAAATTTTGTTGCGCAGCAAGTACCCCAGAATGGAAGGGCATAACGAAGATGTGACTCAAAAAGGGCATAATAGGCTATTCTAGAGGTTGAGAAGTTAAGTTCCTTAGAAACTGATCTTAGCGCAAAACAGTCAGCGCTTAGTTTCTTTGATAGAGCTTCAATGTGAAAGTCCCATTTTAACGAGTTGTCTACAAGAAGTCCTAAGAATTTCACAGAGTCCACGACGTCAATAGTAGTGTTATTAAGTACAAAAGGCTGTATAGTACTTTTATATGACAAAACTTTAGTTTTTGATAGGTTGAGGCATAGGAGATTAGAATCGCACCAAGACTTAATGGTGCGTAAGTCACTGGATATAGTATCATATAGCGCCGCAACATCTGGGCCGCTCCAAGTGAAACTAGTATCGTCCTGAAAGAGGCAGATTTTACCGCTAATGTCTAGATTTGCAATGTCGTTGATAAACACCAGAAACAAAATAGGGCCAAGTACTGAACCCTGAGGGACACCACATTCTATAGGCTTACAAGAAGACATAGACGTATCGATCCTCACAAGCTGCCTTCTGTTGCCAAGATATGACTTAAGCCATTCGAGCGGCACTCCCCTGAAACCATAGTATTGCAATTTGTTAATTAAGATATTATGATTTACACAATCGAAAGCCTTAGAGAAATCACAGAAAATTGTAGCTGTAGAGTGATGGTTATTCAGGCTAGAGTATACATTATTAAAAAGGTCGAACATAGCATCATTTGTGCAACTGTTACTTAGAAATCCAAATTGATGGGTAGTAAGTATTTTATATTTAAGGAGAAAAGATAGAAACCTTTTTTTAACCAATCTTTCAATGATCTTAGATAATGTGAGCAGGAGTGTAATTGGGCGATAGTTCGAAGCTTCATCTTTATCATCTCCTTTATACAGAGGAATAATTATTGCTGTCTTAAGGCAGTTTGGAAAAACTCCTTTTTGGAATGACTCGTTAATTAAAGTAGTAAGATGGTTTAATGTGCATTCAGGAAGTTCAGAGAACATTTTGATTAGTAAGCTTTGAGGTAGATGTAGGACCCCGCAAGATCTTGTCCAAGACCCGAGGGGCCCCTTTGCTGTTTTAGGCCCGTGACCCCCGTTATACTAAGACGGCACTGCTCATCGATTAGAAAGCTAGAATACAAGTTATGTTGTGCATTGGTTGAAATTTAAAATGTTTATTCAGTAAAAATAAATAATCAAACCATTGAAATTACTTTTTAAGATATGGAGGCCCCCGAAAAGAAGAGGCACAGGGCAAGACAAAAACATTCATGTTTTACGACAAAATTGCGACAAATCCAATACATTTCTGCGACATTTTTATTTCATTTTTGTTTTGTTTCAAAATTCGGAGACTTTTCAATGTCCCGTCTCGAGTCGGTAAAGATCAAAGTGTCTATGTTTTGTTCGTATATTTTAATTTTTATTGAAATTACACATGGTTAATAAAACTCATTTGCAACAACTAAACTTTGGCCTTGTTGTACTTTTGTCCTTGGTGTGTGGACAATTTGGTATTACAGTTGAGGGTTGGAACCTTTGGGGTTACACAGCAAAATAAAAAACACTAAATCACCACAATACACCAAAACACTTTTACTTTTACACTGGACGCGCGTTTCGCTAACCATGTTAGCCTCATCAGCAGATTATTATAAACTGTTAGTTTATAATCATCTGCATCATTTTTTTTTTACAGGACATTGAAAAGTCTCCGAATTTTGATTATAAACTGTTAGTTTATAATCATCTGCTGATGATGCTAACATGGTTAGCGAAACGCGCGTCCAGTGTAAAAGTAAAAGTGTTTTGGTGTATTGTGGTGATTTAGTGTTTTTTATTTTGCTGGACAATTTGTCTCAAGTTTGTCTTGTCAGAATTCCCCATTTTTTGTCGCAACTTTGTCTTGTTTTTGTCTCAAAATCAAGTTTACTTTTTGTCGCCTTGGTCTGGACCCGGCATAATATACTATATTATACTGTTATTTTTCTATTTAATTTTTATAATGTATTATATTTTAGGTCAAAACAAGACGCCAGATTGTAAACAATGGAGTTGTGATGTTTGTGCTAAATTGTTTACTACAAAATATTTTTTAAAGAAACATAAGAGACTTCACACTGGTAAATGTTTCTTTATATTTCATCATTGACTTTAACTTTATACTGATAATGTTCATTTACAAATAATACACATGATTATTTTCTAGGAGAGATGCCTTACACTTGCAATATATGTAACAAATCTTTTACGTTTCAACAATCGTTTCATAAACATATGTTGTATCATTCGTCAGAAAAACCGTATATTTGCAATGAATGTGGAAGAGCATTCAAGGAACATTCAACGCTACAGAACCATTTCAGAATACATTCTGGCGAAAGACCATTTGGTTGCGAAATTTGTGGTAAGTTTTTACATAACTTTCTTCCATCTTCTTATGTGTTCATTACCATAGAATTTCGGAGCAAATTCCCTTTACTTTTTATTATTAACCACCATTACATAAGAAATACAAGAAATATGATACAAAGGTACTTACTTAGATCTAGTGATGCATAATGTCATCCATCCTGCATCTAACCATAAACATATTCTTCATTTAAAACTTTTCTATCGATATATAACAGCATTTTTAATTTACATTTTACGGAAATCCTCTCTGCAAATCAACTAATTTAAGAACCGGATTCTGAGGTCCATTTCTTCCAATCTATCAATTATGGGACATAATATATTATCTGCGGTCTACCGGTTTGAAAATCGTACCTCTCGTTTCTCATGCAGTACATGATGTCAATTTTTCTACATTTTCGCATGGTATCGCTCACTGAAAGCTTATTTTATAAGAAAAAAAGCTTTGAATTAAAATTTGATCTACTTGTCGATAATTTTGTGGGCGATTGGTTTAGTTTTAGTTGGCTTTCTAAGCTCAAATTGAAAAAAAATGTGTGTGCACTATGTGCGCATAATTGAAGTGGAACTTCTTATTACTTCAGTCTGTCTGTCTGCCTGTCTGTACCACCACTCCATTCGGGTACCTCTATCCACGTGCCGAGTTTAGTTCCAATCGACCCATAATTAAGAAAAATCCTGACGATTTTGTTCATTTAGAGGCACCGACCGATTCGAAACGTCGAGGGTGTTTCAAACTTATAACATCCTGTAGAGCGTCCCCAATTATGCCGAATTCAACCAACATTTTTCTTCAATATGAAATCCTTAGTCCCACCCTGATAAAGATAACACGAAAACTTAAAGTAAACCAAACTTCGCGCGTCGTATCCAACTTTGCAGGGTGGTGCACTGTGTGCACCGTGGCTCGCATACATACTGCCGTTACTCGCTGACGAGTATTTGACACGCATCAGAAGATGGTAACGCAAGGCGTTTTCTTTCATGAGCCTTTCTGTGACTGAAAAGCCCAATACGTGATGTTATTTGTCTACCGCACTCCGGACATTCAAAAATCTCATTGCTTTGTTGCCTCTTAACTTTTTGGTTCTCGCTGTTAACTGAGTTTACAATTCTTCTCCATTGAGTTCTATTATGAGCTGCTACTTCCCACTCATTTTGCACATTAATCCCCTTTAAGTTTTCGTGGAAAATGTCCTTGTACCTTTTGAGTTGTCCACCTGGCCTCCTCTTACCGTCTACAAGCTCACCGTAAAGCAGTGATTTTGGTATGCGGTTTTCTTGCATTCTGCATACGTGACCAGCCCATCTTAGTCAGGATTTTGTAACCATGACTTCAATACTCTCGCAGTTAGCTTTTTCAAGAATCGATACGTTTGAGACGTGATGGAACCATTTGATTCTTAAGAGTTGTCTAAGGTGTCTCTGTTGCAACTTGTTTAATGCGTTCATGTGTCGGCGGTACGGCACCCAGGTTTCGCTCCCATATAACATGGTGGGGATTATTATTGCTCGGTACACTGCAAGTTTCGTTTTTGTGCTCAGGTCATGGTTGTAAAAAACCCTGTCTTTTAATTTCCAGAATGCTCTTGAAGCGCTGCTAATCCTGTACTGAATTTCAGAGTCGATATTGGCCTTTTCCGAAATCAAACTGCCGAGATAATTGAATTCCGCTACATATTCCAGTAGTTCTTCTCCGATTTTTATAGCATTGTTGTGATCTTCCGGGGAGTGCACATGATTTTAGTTTTGTCGATGTTTAGCTTAAGGCCCAAAGCCTCGTATGCCCAGGTATATGTGTTCAACATTTCTTGTAATTGCTGTACAGTTTTTGCAACTAGAGCGCAATCGTCAGCGTATTGAAGTTCTGTGATGAATTTTGTACGTGTTTTTGCCCTGAGTCTTTTTATGTTGAACAGACCGCCATCATATCTGTATCTAATGCCCAATCCTCTCTCCTGCAGTTTGCTGTCCACTATAATGGAGAGCGCTGCCATGAATATGTTGAATAGGAGAGGCGCTAAGACACATCCCTGCCTAACTCCTGTATTTGTCACGAAGGGATCGCTCAGTGATCCATGATGTGACACTCTTGACTGGTTGTTGTTATGGAGGCTTTTACACACTGTAAGAAATTTCTTGGGTACTCCGAACTTTTTCATAATTGCCCAAAGTGCATCTCTGTTCACAAAGTCGAAGGCTTTTGTTAGGTCGATGAAGTCAACATAAAGTTTAGACTGCTGTTCTTTTACTTTTTCCTGTAGTTGGCGGATGGAAAATATGGAATCGACGGTGCCGCGGTTAGTGCGAAAACCCGTTTGCGATTCTGGAAGGATTTTTTCTATATGTGGGTGCAGGCGGTTTGACATAATTTTTGCAAGAATTTTTCCGCCGATAGCCATGAGTGAAATTCCCCGGTAGTTTCCACAGTCTGATGCACTTCGTTTGTTCTTAAATATATTCACTATATTTGCGTTGCAAAAGTCCTGAGGTACCTCTCCGCTTTCCCATATGACATCGAAGAGAGCCTTAAGATGACCAATAAGTTCTTTACTTGCACACTTATAGATTTCCGCCGGAATCGCGTCACAGCCAGCTGATTTGTTGTTTTTAAGCTGTTTTATGGAGGCCTTTATTTCCTGTTCTGTTATTGGGATATCTAATACATCGAGGCTGTTATACTGAGGTGTTGTGTTTAGCGCTTCCATATTGGGGTTATTTTCTTGGTTAAGGATATGGCTGTAATGCTCTTTCCAGCAGTTTCTGATTTGCTCTTCCTCTTTTAGAAGTTCGCCATTTTGTGCCATGATTGGGCAGCTTGCCTTCTTGGTTGGGCCGTACACTTCTTTTACAGCCTCGAAAAATTTACGGTAATCGTGATGCGTGGCGTACTCTTGAATCTGATTAGCTTTCTGTGACCACCAGTTATCTTTTAGTTGACGTAGTTTTCTCCGAAGCATGTTGTTGGCTGCTTTAAAGTTGTCTACCAGCCTTGGGTTGTGTGGATTTGCAGTAACTGCTTGATGTGCTCTATACTTTTGTTCCAACAAAGCCTGTATATTAGGTTGATTTTAGTTAAACCAGTCTGGTTGTTTCTATTTATTGGACTTTCCCAGAACAGCTTCGCTGGTTTTATGAATCGCATCCCTTAATTGTGTCCAGCCTTGTTCAGCTTCCAATATTGAGATTGAAGTTATCGGTGGAAGTGATTCTTTGATGGCTTCCCGGAGGGCGTCGGCGGTATTGTTGTTCTCTAGACCCCGTACGTTCAATCTGGTCATGTTGTTTTGCTTTTTACAGTGTGGATGTTTGGATTTTAACTGGATTTTCATTTTTGAAATTAAAAGTCGGTGGTCAGTGCCGCATTCGGCATCTATCCTGGCTTTTGTGAGTCTAACATCTTTTAGATGCGTCCTTCGGACGATTACATGGTCCAATTGATGCCAGTGGGCTGATCTGGGATGTTTCCAGGTACCTTTAAACTTGTCCTTCAACATGAACCACGTATTGGTGATGCAAAGATTATACTCTGTGTATGTTGTTAATAAGCGTTCACCATTGCTATTTACGTTTCCCATACCATGTTTTCCCAATACGTCATGCCATATTTCCTGTTGTTTACCGACACGGGCGTTAAAGTCACCTAGCAAGATAATTCGTTCGTTCTTCGGAATTCGTTGGAGAGCATTTTGTAGAGTTTGGTAAAATTTATCCTTATCCTCAATTTTAGCGTCTAGGGTGGGAGCGTAGGCACTAATGATGTTGACGTAAGTTTTGTCTGATATGGGATACCTTAGGGTCATAAGGCGTTCGGAGACACCAATAGGTACTTCTGTTAATTTGGTTGCAATTTCGTTCTTGATTGCAATGCCTACGCCATGAATTCTCCTGTGTGTTGCGGGGTGACCCTTCCAAAAGAAGGTGTAATGCTCCTCAGTGAGACTACCCTCATCCGCAAAGCGGGTTTCGCTAAGAGCGGCAACATCTATATTTAGCCGGTGGAGTTCCTGTGAGACCAGTGCTGTTCTTCTCTCGGTCGATTGGAGTTTGTCCTGTCCAGTAGAGTGCGGACGTTCCACGCCGCAAACGTGAAACATTGATGTTTTTTGTTTCTCCGATGATACGCTCGAGTAGGCACCCCCTCCCGGAGATCCGATTGAGGGGGTATTTTACCTCCGGATGATGATTTTGTCCCACTCGAATGTTCCATCATTGATGTGTGTAAGCTGCGTGAAAAAGTTTAACTGTGACGGTTACGCTGCCGCACAGTTTTGGCTGCAAATGTAGCACGGGATGGCTATGGCACAGTGAGGACCGCGACGAAAGTTCCCTTGTGCTACGTTCTCGGCCGGCTAGGAGCAGTTCACTACTCCTCTTCCCCAGAAAGATGGTAGGTCTGAGGGTTGTAAGGTAAAGGTTATAGCGCCTATACTCGGACGTCAGAGCCTCCTTTGTGTAAACAGGGTGCACCACGTGAAGGTGAGGTTGACTTTTGGGTAAGCTAGGCTATATGTATCGCTTCAGTACCCCTTGCACCCCAATACCCCTTGCATACCCTACATACAAATACGCTTACAACCAAATTTGGTCGCGATATTAACTTTTAACATTTCTTACGTCAAAACTAACCGTCACCGTGATACATTTCGTTGCACGGTCAAGTTGGCCTTGGTCCAATCTATCGACATACCAAATTTCATTTAAATCGGACGATTTTTTTATTTGATTCGTGGGTAGTACACGAAACGCCAATGAAGGTGCTAATCTTAACAATATGCACTACTGGTCCAAATCTACCTTTAATGCAGCCGCCGTCCATTCTTAGTTGGCTACCGGCACATATGGAAACTGGTAGGGATTTATAAAAAAGCAAAGTAATATTAGGCCAATCAAATTAGAGGGTTCACTTGAAAAAAAGTGTTGGAAAGCTAATTATGGTCTTGATTTGTTCAGTTGACATGAAAGATAAATATCCTAGTTTTGCACGGTTGCTCGACCGCCGCTCGACTCAGGAGGACCAAAAGATGGTAAAATTCTTGGACTTTTTTCAGATTTTTGCCTATAATTCCGAAACGTTGCATTCTAGCCAATATTTCACTATCATAAAAATTGAAGACCATTAAATTCTGCATATAATGAGTTCGTTCAATTCGGTCAAATGGTGGTATGGCAAAAATCGAAAGATGAAGAATGGTGATATTTACCTATTTTGCTGATAAACGCATTAAAGTGACATTCAAACTTTCGTCACACGGAAAAAATCATTCTAAATAATAAGCCACAGAAGAAAAATTACAGAGCATCAAATTACGTCAAGTAAGTATTTTACATCAAGTAATACATGCCAAGAAAATACAAATTTTCGCGTTCCGTCGTCCAACAATTCTGCGTAGAATGAGTTCGTTCATTCGGTTCAGTAGTATAGCTTATAGTAGTGAGTAACATAATAGATGCTTAAAAATAGTTATTTTTACCAGTTTTTCCACTTCAAAAGAGCATTTCTTATCCAACGACCGTAATAAGAAACGTCAAATTAGCATGCTCCGTAAAAAGCTAGGTGATGAAGGATTTATTGTAAAAGTAGCATAGGAAGATGGTAATAGACTCATTGTTACGACTACAATTGACTTATCCATTGTTATCCATCAGTAATAATTGTTGGACACAAACACAGATCTGTTGGTCCTACTCACAGAATTAGTACCTGCCACCACAAAGATTGAACTAATGAAGCTTGGGAGGGGTGCGAAGGAAAATAATTTGTACTCTCCCAGACACTTCAAATACCCGGAGAGTTTAAATCAAAAATTCTGTTCCTACATGCTTTCAGTGAATATCATTCCACGTCATCATTGTATCAGCAGGGGAAAATTAAGTTTGTCAAAACTTTGGACAGGAACATCGACTTACAAGATGCTGCGTTCATCTTCAAAAATAATAAGGCTTGTGCTGATGAGATAGATGCTGCTGGGATAAAATACCTTGTAGCCATTTATGGTGAGCCTTGAAAACATACCTTATTACACGATATAAGATACGATATATTCGCCAAAGTTACTACTTTGGTTTGGGATAAGGGTTACTATCTTCGTCAAGACAAGCATGAAGATAGCAACCCTTATCCCCTTCCCCAGTGGGGATGGAAATAACAAAATACGGCTTGCAAATTTTAGTAACTGTAAACTGTATAAATAAATTTAGTATACAATAATTTTAATGTTAATTAAATGTACATGTGTATTAGTTTAATTAAGAATACCACTTTTTAAGTAATTTTATGGAGAGTTGGACGAAACGCGAAAATTTTCAATTACCTCAGCATATATTAGTTGATGTAAAATGCTAATTTGATGCTCTGCAACTTTCACTGTAATACTAAACGAACATTTGAATATCACTTTAATGCATTTATCAGCAAAATAGGTAAATATCACCATTCTTCATCTTTCTATTTCTGCCATTCTACTGGACCGAATTGAAGGAATTGATACTCATTATATGTAGAATTTAATGGTCTTCAATTTTTATAATAATGAAATATTGGCTAGAATGCAACGTTTCGGAATTATAGGCAAAAATCTGAAAAAAGTCCAAGAATTTTACCATCTTTTGGTACTCCTACGTCGAGCGGCGGTCGAGCAACCGTGCAAAACTAGGTTACTTATCTTTCATGTCAACTGAACAAATTAAAATCATAATTAGCTTTCCAACACTTTTTTGCAAGTGACCCCTATAATAGATCTTATTTGACTGGCCTATATCATTTAACTCTACTTTTTATACCTATAGACCAGCCGTGTATAATTTGTTTAATTTATTGTTTCTTGTTGATTTGTTTATTTATAAGTGCAATTCCAGTAACTAAAAATTTACTATTTCATTTAATTGATCTGGAATTTCTATCTTAATCAAAAAATTATAATTCACGATTCATTACAATTTATAATAGATACTTGTTTTAATATCATGAACTATTAATTTACATTTTTTATTTAATATTTTAGGTAAAAGGTTCAGACAAAGAGTGTCTTACTTAGTACATATGAGAATTCACACAGGAGTTATGCCATACAAATGTACGGCGTGTAATAAAAGTTTCAGATATAAGGTTAGCCAAAAATCTCACAAATGTCCTATAAATCCACCGGGAGCTGTTATTCGAGTAACAGATACTGATATAACTAGCATTGCTACTTTATTATCTCAGAAAATACCAAAGGAAACTCTGGAACGGACACAAAATGAAGACTGCAAATTGACAGATACACTTTCTAAAACTAATAATTCACCAAAGTGTATCCTGTCAGTAGACTACGATACCGGAAATATAAATTTTATTCCTGCAGTTATCGAGGACAATAATTCAATTAATAAAGGTTTAGATTATGCTAAATGTAGTAAACTGGATCGAAACATTAACGATAGACAACAAAACAATACAGAAAATGGTGAGTTGAAATGGTCAGAAAACTTTCCACTGTAGGTTATTAATTGAGCGTCCGGATTGCACAACGACCTTAGCGCGTGGCGATGGCGGCGGGCAGCCGAGTAGGCAAGCGAGACAGCGACGCGACGCGACGCTCTGCTGCGCGCCGATTTAACAAAATAAATAATTTTAAAACTGCCGTCATTTCGTTAATAATTATCGTATCGTGCTGATTTTTGCATAAAAATACTCATGAGTCTTTAGCGCTTCCGACAATTTTCAATTTTTTTCAATTTCAAAAGTACTTTATTGTTTAAAAAATATACAAATTTTTGTTAACAAAGCATAAATATTCCTAAATCTAAACCTAAAATAAAAAAAAAATGTGTAAATATAAGATAGAAATACATCCATTTAAACAACAAAGAGTATTCAGAAAAATAGGTGTAAACAATTAAGTAAAATAACATATACAATATACAGAATAAAGAGAAAATTAACAATAACGCTAAAAAGAATAAGTCAGACTAACAAGCAATTCTAGACTCTAAACACTAATATCAAGGGAGCCCCGGTAGAATTCGTCAACGCTGTAAAATGGCCCTATTTAAAAGTTCCCTTTTCAGTAGTCTCCGGAAGGTTTTTATGGAATTAACCAATCTTAAAGCAACCGGCAGATGATTAAAGATCTTTCGACCCTCATATATTATAGATCTTTTGACCAATGTGCTATTTGGAAGTGGTAAGGGCAGATTCAGGGTTTGGCGGGTAACAATATTGGGTATAGGACCCTGTAGTCTGATACGATTTTTAAAAATAAGGGATGATGTTTCCAGAATAAAAAGACATGGTAGTGTAAGAATTTTTTGAGCTTTGAAGTGTTGTCTACAGGATTCGTTAAGTGGTACATTTACAATAAATCGTACGGCCTTTTTTTGTAAAATAAAAAGAATGTTTAGTAGACCCTGATTAGCCACACCCCAGAATGGTATTCCATACCGTAGGTGAGACTCAAACAAACTAAAATAGACCGTCCTTGCCACTTGTGAACCTAGTTCTTCCTTAATTGCCCTAACAGCAAAGCATCCAGAAGACAACTTGCCACTTAAGGCCAGAATATGGTCTTCAAATCGCAGATTTCTATCAATAATAATTCCTAGGAATCTAGTCGCAGGAATTCCTGCAAGCAAACCCCCCTCGAAATGTAGATTTGCGATGTCACACCTAAGCCCAACAACATGCGTCTTGGATAAATTTAAACAAAGGTGATTTGAGTTAAACCACTCTTTAATGAAGGATAAGTCCTTGCTTATGATTCCCTTAAGATGCTCAATGTCCTTGGCCTGCCATAGTATTGAAGTGTCATCTGCAAAGAGTGTGAAATGTCCAGAGATGTGCAGTTCTGTCAAATCGTTAATATACAATAAGAATAAAATAGGCCCCAAAACAGAGCCCTGTGGTACACCGCAACAGACACTTAACGGCGAGGATTTTTTTCCCGAGCACATGACACACTGATATCTACCCTCAAGATATGATCTAAACCAGGCAAGAGCACGTCCACGGAAACCATACTTCTCGAGCTTCAGTAAGAGAATTTCGTGATCCACGCAATCAAAAGCCTTGCATAGATCACAGAACACAGCAGCCATTACTCCCCCCTGAATCAGCCCAACATAGACTTCCTCAAGGAAACTGCAGACTGCTTATCAGTAATAATGTTAAGGGATTGTAGATAGTTACACATCCTATTTTTTACTAACTTTTCAATGACCTTGGACAGAGTGGGAAGTAAAGAAATCGGGCGAAAGTTAGAAGGCTCCTTAGTATCACCTCCCTTGAAGAGAGGTACCACCGTTGAAGATTTTAGGCAGGAAGGAAAAACCCCCTGCTGCCAGGATTCATTTATGCAGTTTGATAAGGCTTCTAAGGCTGTATCTGGTAGCTTTAACAGTACCTCAGCAGAGATGTCATCATCTCCACTGGATTTCTTATTTTTTATTTCAGCAATAACTTTTTTTATCTCGAACTTATCTGTATTATAAAAACAAAATGAATTTTGATAATTAAAATTACTTAGGTAAGACAGAGGGTTAGACTTAGAGGATAAATTCTTGGTCAGGTCACCAGCCATGTTGCAGTAAAACTGATTAAGGTGATCAGGGTCTATCTCAGACCTGACACTAGGTGATTTTTTGCGAAAGTCATTAATTATAGACCAACATTCTTTTTGTTTGTTTTTGGCCTTGTTAAGTCTATTTTTATAGTACATATTTTTAGCAGCCTTGATAAGTTTTCTATACAGACTACGATACTTATTAACAAAGGATATAAATTTAGGGTCATTACTGTATTTTTTAGATAGTTTAAAGATCGAAGGTTAGTAGCTGAAATCCTCAGACCTTTAGTAAGCCAACGATAGCATTCATTTTTTTTTCTTAATCAAGCGCACGGGAAAAGCCCGGTTAAATATAAGGGACAACATTTTGTGAAAACTGCCAATTGGGTCAGACAGGTCTAGGCCTTGCCAATCCGCGCTTATACATAAGGAGTAAAACATGTCAAAACTGGCTGTGTTGAAAATTCTACCAGGACTACGCCCAGAAGATTGTCCAACGGCCTCCGGGATCTCAATAATACAACTAACCGCCTCGTGATCAGAGATACCTGCATTTATAACTGAGCAGTCAACATTTTCAGAATTAGAGCATACATAGTCAATTAAAGAAGAAGACTTATCTGTGATCCGAGTTGGAATGTCAATGTGCAAATTTAAACCATAAGACAAAATTAAATTGTTCAGCTGGCAAGTAAGCACAGAACTCCTGTCTAAATAGTTAATATTAAAATCCCCAGTCAAAATCATATTTGAAGAAGAGGGAACATCTGATAAAATTAAGTCGAGTCACTTGAGAAACTCTATGGCTGAGCTTGATGGTGAACGATATATGCAAATTATATATAAATTAATTACGCTTAGAAACACATTGAAAATTCAAATGTTTTCTCTTCCAACAATTAGTCGTACTTATTTACCGCTATAAAACAATTAGTGGTTTCAGAATATTTTTTAATAAGAATAAGACTACCACCATGGAGAAAATTTTCTCGGCAAAAGATACAAAGTGGTTGGTAACCAGGTACAAAAAAACATTCACTTGGCTTGAGCCAATGCTCGGTAATACAGACTATATCCGGGGACCCTATACTATTTAAAAAAATGTACAAAATATCGCATTTATTTCTCAAAGATTGAATATTTAATAAGAGCAATGATATTTTATCGTTAAAAGTATATTCATGTTTATTATTATTAAGAGTACTGGCCTCTGGAGGAGTAATTATAAAAAAATATTATCTGACACAGTATTATTAGAAACATCAAGCAAGATAGGGTTAGAAGGGTTATCCCCAACATTCTTTACAGTTTGTACCTCCGTTGGAGACTCTTTACAATATTTCTCCCTAATGTGGGTAAATAATAATTCTGCTAGACCAAAACCAAAATTATGCGCGTGATTAGTTTCTAAAATATGGTTTAAATCTATATTAACGCTATGAAACATTTTAAAAAGTGACAAATTGCTTTTATATATAATATTGGAGTTAAGGCCAAAATAAGGGGCTGGTCATAACTAAAGTATTAGTATTTTTACACTGGAGAACAAAACTATTTAATATGACAGACGGACAACATACACCATTTAAACATAAAACAACCAAGTCCTTACTTGTAAAGTCATGCACCATAGAATCAGCAGATTCCACGAGCCCGAAACTTGAACATCCTGGTTTCAGGAAGAATTGTACTTTGTAAGTATCATCTAGTTTTAAACGTAAGTTCCTTTGGAAATTATGATTTCTATAGCCAGAAATAATAAGAAGGGTTGGACGATTGTCATCATTTCCCGAGATTCGCAGTCTCAAAAGCCGCTCCTCTGTTGGCCTGTTAGAGATATGCGGACTTTCTAACAAATAGTGTTTCTTTTCAGCCTCAAGAACTCTTATAGAACTTATCATTTCTCTGTTCATGGTAGTCAATTCCTCCACTTGTTTTTTAAACGAATCCAAATTCAATACATGTTCATTGTTTTCATTTTCAATTGAATTAATGTTAATTAAAAGACCATTATTTATAGAAGTTAATTCCTTCAATTTTGCGCCTAGTTCAGTTTTGTCACTTTCCAAAAATGTCATTTTCACCAAAAATTCCTGCTCCTTTGTTCTAAGGTGGGATATTTCAGTATTAAGTTCTTCATTGCGTTTGTTAAGTTGATCTATGGAAGCAGAAAACTTTTTTTCGGCTTCTGTAACTTCATCTTCAAAGACCAAGCTATTTCTACGCAAACGCTCAATATGCCTATTTTTGTCGTTTAGCTCAGCGAGAAGATTTGCAACTTTAGAATCAAAGGCCTTCTTCATATTTTCATCCTCGTTATAATTAGATTGACAAATGCTTGAACACAAAATTTTGTAACCGCCCAATTTCAAGCATTCAGCAAGTCTATCTGAGCAGCTTGGGTGAAAAACTGAATAGCAGTAAATGCAAATATAATTTAAAAACTCCCTATGTCTGCAACACTTAAAATCTCGGTTCATTTTGCTTGTCTAAAAATGATAGAATTAAAACGAAGTTTGGAACGTAGCTGCCGCATAAAAATGCAAACAAACAACTAGCGCGATAAGATCGCAGGAGCACTGTGTCTAATTTTCCACAAAATACAACGGAATTTGCAAAATAAAAACTAAAATTTGACACTAAACGTATAAACCAACATTATACCACACTTTTAAACATTAATTTTAACTTTAAAACAACGGAATTACGCGAATATCTGAGGAGCACATTTTAAGGATACTACTACGACTGCGTGCTCGAATCAACATAATTACAAGCCTAAATAACTGGATTATTTTTTATATTTTCGATTTGTTTACATTGCCCGAGCATATTATAACTTTGAGATAAAAATCTCTGTTATAAATTTTAAAACTGACAGATATGAATACTATCATTTAATT